ATAAACTAAGATGCAGTGGATGCATTTTTGACAAAGCTTAGGCAATGTGGCATTTGCTAAAGTGCTTCCAAAAACTTCTGTCTCATGAAACTAGAGGAGTCTGGAGCTGAGTTGTAGCCAGGGACTCTTTGGGATGCCTCCAACCCATCTTTGGTACAGCATTGCAATGTGAATATTTACAAGAGGACTGGAGAACAAGGGGTAGTAAACAGGAAGGAACTGAGGAAATCATGTGTATGCCATGAAATGTGTCTTCAGCTAACTAACTTTGGAAATGGCAGAAGATACATGGGCTGTGATGCCAAACAGAGTTATGCAAATGATTAGATGAAGCAGCTGTGGCAAGAGCCCCTAGAGACAGACTGTAAAGGGAATAAGCAGACACACAGACAAGGCCAGGAAACTAACACTGAAGGTAGCTCATTTTGCTGAGATTTCTCTAAAATAAATGAAAACTATTCAGTCAAAATGACTATTACAGCTGTTGAAGAATTAAAGCTACCAGTTTAGAGAGCAATAAGTCATGCTGTTATACACCTCACCCTCAGCTCCCAAGCCTACATGTTCTCTGTGCAATGAGAGAAGACACTCCTCTCCCTTTCAGTATATGATCCATCATGGGATACATGTCTTACTGCAGCCATACCTGAATGTGTGCCCTGCAACTGCTCCTCACATGGTTTGGGCTTTCGAGGGTTTTCTTCTGGCATTAAAAAAGCAATTCTTCATCTACACAGCATTGTCAACCAGGTGTCTCTGGATTGTCAAATGAACATCACTGGGACTGAGTAGCATTCTCTTCTTCAGCATCTGACTTAAGCCCTATGGTTCATGCTGTCACCTCCCTCACCACCACCCATTTCTTTTTAATGCAGCTGAAATTACATTTCAGACAAAAGTACTCTCATTGTATCCAAAAGGCTGAAACAGAGCTCTGGTTCTGCTGCGTCTAGAACAGGCTGTCTAATATTACATCCTGAACTTAATCTTTAAGACTGCTTTTCAGCTAATGTGATCCCACGTTTTTCTAGTGAGCTGAGCACTCATAAAGCTCTCAGCTGCAGTCAGAGCTGCCAATATTCACACCATTTGAAAGAGAACCAGGAGAATTATCTCAGACAGAAGAAACAGATCTCTTGTGCTGACAGAGTAGACACATTGTACATCAGACTTTGCCAGCAGCTCTCTTTAACAACTACTGGAGTGGATCTGAAAGCATTTAAGAGATACCCAACACTTTATATTGCAAGAAGGCACTCCCAGCTGCTTGTATTTTCAACAAATTTAAAGTAAATTTTAATTTGATTTAAACTGCAACCCCAATGTCTCTATTCCTAACTAACCTGGAGATGCTTGGAGCCTTGCATTAGGTGTCGTGATTAAAGGTTTTTGGTTGTTCCCATACAGGTCTTCTGTATAATAGCCACTGCTCAGGCCCAGTTAAGTGCCATTTTGTCAACATTCCACTTACTAGAGGTAAAGCTCCTTATTGTCCTCTCTTGCCAGAGAAGCACAGTATGAAATGAAACACCTAGAACCAACTTAGCAGCTGATGGATTTGTTATTTATTTATGAAGGGCAGCAGAATGGAAACACTTTATAGGAACCTCCTTCATGATCAAGTCAAGGAGCTAGTTACAGCTCAACATACTTTGGTGCAGTTCTTGGAGCTCACCTTGAGCAGGTCACTTAAGACCTGGTCCTGGAAGTGTTGCCATTGACTTAAATAATACTTGGATGAAAACTCAGATCTCCCTTGGCCCCCGGCACTGGGACTAGCATGCCTTTGCCTTGTATACCATGATCACTGTGTTTGCAACTGGGAACCTAAAGCTAGATATGCTCCTGAAACCCACTGGAAAAATAGGATTTCCCTTTAGGCAGTCAACAGACTAAACTAACAGAAATAATGACAGTAACAGGATAAACATTTAGGATTATGAGTGAGCATCTTTTGAAACCCATTAGTGATGGAGGAGGAGGAGTTTCAGTGCACCAGCATGCGCCATGTTTCACTGTGTAATCCCATGAAGTTCTGCTTCTCCTTAATTTCAGAAAGACTGTGGCTTCTATATTTTATTTTTCCTCACCTACCAGCCAGCAGAAGCAGGAAAATAACGACACAACCAGGAGCTGTATTCACAGACAGGAAGTAACTTTAATTAAATATTGTGAAAGTTGAAAAGTTTTTACAGCTTGAATTTCTGCAAAAAAATTATAACAATCTCTACAGTAGTTAGTTTCTCTAACAATAGAACTGTACAGTGTGTGTGTCTATTCAAAAAGATTTAGATAAGAAGGTGAAAGGTTAGTAGTTTCAGAGATGACTTCTTTTTAGCTGCATCCTAGTACAACTGTGAGGAAATAGGCATACTTTATGCAATCCAGTCATTGTGAAGCTTCACCTTGTTAAAACTGAAATCTGAATGTTTCCACTTAAAGCCATATTCTGTAAACAGCTGCATCTTTTACTTTGTAAAAGATAAGGGTGGTGCAGGGGAGATTTTTTATAAATTCCCATTCATCAGATCACTATAAATAGCTGCAACAAAACAAATGATGCACATCGTCAAGGGTCTTTGGACACTGGTGTAGAAGACTACAAACATCGATGGCTAACACTGGTGTCAAAATCGCTATGACTTTGAGTGGAGCTCTACAAGAGTAATTGATGGTGTCACTGGACAAAATATGGCTTTAAATTTGATTACATTGTCGTGCTGTTGTTTATTATGTGAATTAGAATAATCGCTTGGAATACAGAGAAGCAATAAATTGATGTCTCTCACATTTTCCAGTTTTCTCTTATTTTCTCACCATGGAAAAAAAAAAAATAATAAAATCCTGTTTTCTTCCTTTCCCCCCAAAGATCACACTGTGACATTCTAGTGAAAACCATTGCAAAATTCATACAGGAAGCATGCACAGTTGCAGCATCGTTGTAAATGATTTCTTGCTCGACTAGAAAAAAGTTATATTGTTTTAAGGTAACAAAACAGTTCTTTTGTGCTTTTCAATTCCTTTTTTTTTTTTCTTAGAATGTTAGTGATGATTGACAGTTCTGGTGCACAGTACAATGTACAAGTGAAATGAATATGATTTGCATTGTTAAGGCATCCAATCTGCTGGTTTATATTTATGTGAAAGACAGAGAAATATACAAGCAGACTTAAGAAAGAAAGTATTTTCATTGAGTTCTATGAAGTTTCTCCCCATATTTAATGCACAAAAATGCGTCACTCCAAAGAGGAGAAATCCCATGCATATTAATAGAGTAAAACAGCATTAGTTTCTGTTAAGCCTCAAAAGCAAAGGATACATTTCTTTTAAAATCTACATAACTAAATGCTACAAGAATAATATGCTACTTTTTGCCATATATTGGAAAAAACTTCTTAACTTACAAATAATACAAAAATAGACAATGGCTTTTGGGTGGAAATTAAAAAAAATGGAAGCATGGTTTTAAACAATACTAAAAAAAGAACCCTATAAATGAAATGTTTTAAAATCACATTTAAACAGCTAATACAACGGTGAATGACCAAACAAATCAGCACTTTTCACATAGCAAACATACACAATAAAATAAACTTGGCAGGGGAAAAAAAGCAATGTACAAATTCCAAAGATAAATACATTATTTATATGGATATTTTACAAAATCCCCTGTAAAACAAACAAACAAAAAACAGAAACAAAAAAGCGCTTTTTTTCTTTAATTAATTTTGCAAGTATGTGCAAGCTAAAGGTAGTGAGCTCTTTTTGCAAAATATGCAGTAAAATTCTTTTTTTGTGATATTGAAAAACTGTCTTAAGACATTAAAATGTATAAATAGAACAACAACTTTGGCAAAAAATCACAAAAAATCTACAGTATTTATAACTACATACAAAACACAACAGCAAAGAAAAAATATCAGGTAATGCATCTTCAGAGCTTTGCTGCCTCTTTGACTAATAGTTTTTAAGAACACTTCCCAGACAATGATAGCAAAATTTTTGTAAAACAGAAGCTATGGGTTTGATTTGAAACCTTCCTAACAAACAGCCCTACCCCCACCCCCAAACTCATGTTTCCATTTATTATTCAAAAGCAGTTACCTGTTGCTTAATATATTATGATACAAACTGAGAGGGTCGACCGATACAGGAACAATCCTAGTGGGAGGCTGATGAAAACATGTGCTTTCAGATGGTGAGGATGCAGAAACACAGACGTGTCTGGTCTCATTCTGTCCCTTAACAACAAACAGGTCAAGGGGAGTGGGGCTGTGCTGAAAACACCCCACATGTGATGAATGGCCACAGTCTTGTGTCATCATTAGACAGCTATGCAAAATCCAAGTGGCATTTTATGCAGCTCAGGTAACATTACACTTCGAGAAGGCCACTCATTTGCAAGGAGTCCGATACATAAGCTAAAGAGAGAGACATGCCCATCTAATCCTGCGGTTTTAGCACTCTATCTAGAGGCACTGAATTTTCAGTTCAAGAGGAAATGTGTTTGATATTTTCATCCTTACCTTCCTTTTAACCCAGTTCTTTCATGGCGTTATTTACACAATTATTTACCGTGATATTAAAGACAGAGGTTGCTATTCCCACCCCTCAATCCTGCCTTCAGCATCCAAAAAAAACAGCTTTCTAAGGAGTGATATCTATTTAATTAGAACATTAAAAATGCATCTTATTAGCAAGTCACCACTGGATAAGCAACCTATATGAGCCGACCCTTAATTAAATGGCCATAATTCTTCTATGAAAAACTAACTGGCACTTCTATTCTGTCCCATACAGACTTGTATGTAAATGACACCAATTCATTTTTCTTTACACAGCTTTAAAAAAAAAAAAATCATAAATTAAAAATGTGGAGTTCCATCTCTAGTGTCCCGTGTGTAATTGTATGATTTATAAAAGACAAATGGTGTTGAGTTAAATCAAGCTTTAAAAAAACACAAAAACCAAAAGAAAATAAAAGAAAGACCCAACCCCCCCCCCCCCAAAAAAAAGAAGTGGATTTTCTATCAACATACAATAAATATATCTCCCAGGTATTTGGGATGGACAACTTGAATCAACACCTTGCAATTGGAGATTGTTAATTTCAGTATTTGCAAGGATGGTGATTTTTGTTTTGTTTAAAAATCTGCAGTTATTGTAAGATCCTTCTTTATTTCTTTTTTTTTTTTTATTTTATTTTTAAAAAGGCCTGAGTAAAAAGTTCCACTCTGGGACTTGTAACAGATTCTCTCTGAAGCAGAATTCAACCTCTTCATTAATAAAATTCTTCAAGGCAATTCTTTCACATGGGGGGAACAATCATGCCAGATATAGCTGTCAGAAGGAAAGGGGAGGAGGGAGAGGGGAGAGAGAGATGGGAAAAAAGTTACTTTTGTGTATTATCAAGCAACTTCCAATGTCTTCAGAGAATTTTTAACATTTACTAGTAACATACTCTGCTGTACTGTGAATTAAATTTATATATAAGTATCATCGACTAGAGACAACTATGTACACAGTGATCACAGGAAGCCTTGTTCTGATCAGAAAACAGTTTAAATTGCAAGTGACTCTACTGAAATTAGTGATTTTTCTTGAAGAAAAAGTATACTTCCCCTCATATGAGAGTCAGACCCCAACTTAATTTTCTGATTTTAGTTTCAAAATCTCAAAATGCTCAGGAGGCTTAAACCTGGCCCAGCCATTGCCACACGTTCTATTACTCTTTTAAAAGCAAAGCAGATATTTGTTCCATATATGCGAAAACGGCTGGAGTACTGTAGGCCACTAATATTACAGACCTGGTAAGGTGTTACTTGCATTAGGCACACTAACAGTGCTCCATTCTCCTATGCCTGTTTTCTCTTACAAGTTCAGTGTTCGGCCCTGGGACTGATGTATGTATTTCCAGGAGCTCAGAAAAGGACTTACACTCTCAAATTCGATTTTCAAATTGAAATATGTCCTTAACTGCTAATTTAACACACTGGTGTCTCATGGTTTTATTACACTTGTAGCAGACATCACCAACTACATTGAATGAGTCGTATGTTAATGTTGATTTAGACTGTCTTCTCCTTTGTTGGCTAAGTTGAATCATCAGTATTTCTTTATTATGCTTCCTAACCTCATTTTGTATGAAACCATCACATGTCTCTTAAAGACCAGACATTCATTAACAGTCAACAGTTACAGTCTCCCACATAGCTTGACCTCTGGCTTGGTCTCCCTCTATTTACCAGGAACTCTATGCAGCTCAGACATTCCAACTGATATCCTGTGAGCAAGCACATCACCTACACAGGGGGTAGTCACGCAAGTTTATGATGAAAACTGTAACAACAATGCATCTTTAAAATGCCAGTTGTACGGTTATTTGCCAAAAGGTAGAAAACAGATTTGCCTTCAGGTTGGCGGCACTTCATGGGCACATGATTTAAATGCTAGAACCGCCTGCCATCTTAGACATCTGGACATGTAATTTCTTAAGGAAGAACTCAACCCTGTGACTGGTGCTGATTCATTGTGCTTTAATTACAGCTGCAATTATTTGATAAGAACAGAGCCAAAGTAAAAGACTCACAGATTTGGGGTTGGAGGGGGAGAGGAGGGAAATATTTTCTCCACAAACACCACCATATGTGCAAGAATTACAAGTCTAATCAGCAAGGGGAGAACAGCTCGAGTAAACTGCACTGATTAAATGAAATAAAATGAGAGGAGAAAGCGAGAATGCAAAACACATCCGCATGTTTGCAACAGGCCATCCTCAAAGGTGACATGTTGCTACTATACAGCAGCATTTCAATTCTCAGCATTTATCATTCAGCAATGGTTTTATGTGAAATCACTGTACTGAAAATCACTGTACTGATTGTTTCCCCTCCATATAAGAGCTCTTCAATGAGCTGAGAATGAGAATAAAAGGGATGGAGAGGTGAGTTAAGCTGCTTTAAGCCCTACAGGAAGACCCTCAAGTGAGTAGCATAGAGAACACTACTGTGTCTTAGATGCTCCTTGCTGAGGTATTTCCTGTCATGGGCTTTTTTGGCTCTACTGTGGCACTAATCTGAGGATGCATTTTCATGTTATACCCATGCCTATTCTGTCTCCCTCATCTCAAATCGTAGGATTAATTCAGTATTGCCTTTTTTTTGTTTGTTCGTTTTTTTGATTCTTCACCTATTTAATCTACTGGATGAAACAACATCAGTTTTGTTTAAAAAAAATATCAAAGGATTTTATTTCAGCAGTTCTCAAATAACAAGTTCCGAATCCTCACAATGAGGCTGTCTTCTTGGAACATGCAACTGAAAATGAAGCAAACCCATGCTCTCACTGTTGTGGTTGCTCCCTATTCTGCTCTTGGAGGGGTCACTCTTACATGTGGGCCGTGTGGGTCTCAACCACAGACCTCTATGGAGTCAATAAAATAAGTATCGACAGCGATGGATACAGTCAACCAGACTAATTCTGCACTAATTCTAATTCAGTCACTTGCAGCTAAGGGTGGAGTAATTTTCCCTATCTGAACACAGGAAAGTCTCACATGGCCATAGACCTCAGACACAGATTTTGTCCCAGTTCTTCTAGCTCATCAAGTAGGTTGATTTGTTTCTGTTTCTTAACCAAGAATAATAATTTTCATCCATATTACTACAGCACTTGGAGATTTCTGGATGACAGCAGAATACAGGGGTGGGACTTCAGTGCTTGGACATAAGTTACAGCACAGAGAAAAGCAATATTAACAAATGACAGTGTTCCCTCCTTTACTGTCCAGATAAGCAAGGAGTTGAGAGGATGGGAATGGGTAGAGTCTTCATATAGGTGATGAGTGCAACCGGGCAGAGTCAGACAGATAATTAATCTTCTGTGCATACTACTTCCAATATTTTGTTCTTTTAAATTCTTTTGTTCTTTTTAAATTCTAAATGTAGTGAAATTTTAAAACAAGGTGTTGGTTTGCTTTAGAAAAAATACTTACACTTCAGAAAAATGTCAAAATATTATTCCAACAAAAAATTCTCAAGCTAAAAGATTCATTAGAAAAACCATTTTCACCAAAAAAGTGGTCAAGAATTATCTCTTGGGACAGCACAGCTGTCTACTCTGGATAAAATCCCAAACAAAGGTGACATAATTGCAACTCCTCCCTTTGTGGCTTAGACATTTCCCTGCAATTACATATCAGCCACACGCCTTTTGCCATTGGAAACAAGTGGTACAGATGCAGATCTTAGCTCATTTTTTCAAAGCATTATTGTTTTTGAAGAGCTCTGAAATTCTGAATTAAATTACAAACCAAATGATATCTTTTCTGCCTAAAAGCTTTGATATTTCCATCCTTTCCAAGTCTTCGTTTATATCAACCTACTTTATATCAACCTACTTTTATTCCTTAAGTGCTCTATCTAGGCATGCAAGTTCTCTCAGCTGTAACATGTTATTGATCCTGAAAACAGAGATATCAGTGGGAAACAGTGGAGGTATGAGATCACACTACCTTCAAAAAGGGAGGGCAGAGAGTAGAAAAACTCCCACCAATGGGCACTATTTCTTCTATTATATACTAATTTATATTTGCTGCTAGCAAATTACAGAAATAATGTATTTTGAGTTTTACAAAATTGCATGGCAAAAGGAACAACAGATAAGCCTAGCTGTTGTTTTAGTGAGTTCTGCTGATATCTAAGCTACATAAAGAAAGCCTGATTGCTTTCTGATGTATCCAGAAGCCCAAGAGAGATAAGACAGCCTCCTTATACATGGTTGTTTATTTAAGCAATAAGGCACAACAGGCAGTGCATTTCTGAGTGATTATTACAAGCCTCAGGTGGTGTCAGAAGGCATGGGACTAAAGGCTGTGTGGTTTTTACTCACCAAGAAGTTCAATGATGACCTAGAAATGAGCCATCTCTTGGTGTCTCATTCCTGTTATGAAAACTGAATTGCTAAAAAAAAAAATTCGGGGAAACACTGAGATCTGTGTGGTTTCTGGGCATTACAGATGTGGATGTGACATAATGAGGAGGCAATCAGCAAGCCCCAGTTGTGTCCGATGCTCTTGCTCGTACCATAATTGCTTTTCATAACTGAGTATGTGGAATCCGAGAATTCCATGTCTTGTAAAAGGAAAAACAGTGCCTGAAAAAGCTTTCTCCTGTTACTTGCTTTTTCTCTCCTCTCACAAGAGCAAACTGGGGCTAGGTGAAGAGACAAAAAAAAACATTAACATGTTCAAAAGCTTCTAGCAGTGAACTCTTAGCTTCTTTTATATTTTTTGAATTTGGAGGTGAAACATTTTTAGCTTTCAAATTCGTAGCACTTCAGCAGTGCCAAATTTTTAAAATGCACATTAATTAATCTAAACACTACAGATCATCTGAAAAATTTGTGGCGTTATATTCCTGATGCAACCTGTATTTATAACAATTCCTGAACAAAAGTACCCAAGCTCTGCTTGTATGTCCCTGCTGTTTTCACAATTTCTGTGATCTTCTGTGCATATCTCAAGGATTCCTCCTTCCAATCCACCAATGTAAAATGCACTGAGAACAATGCTTTCCTTCAGTCACAATAGATCCCAGCTTTTATGAATGAATTCCCTTTGCTCAGCTTGCATATAGATTTTTTTGGTTGTTAATAGTGCTATCAGCATTATGCCCGCAAGCCCAGCGCTTCTTTCCAGAGGCCATAGAGTGACACATGGAGTCTGTGGAAGTATCCTCCCCCTGCTCTGCACAGCTCCTTCTGAACACGGCTTTAAAAATGATGGATTTTAGTCTGTGCTCGATGCTCTTTAGATAATTTGCACAGGCACGTGGAAAGGAAAACAGACCTCAGGTCTGGGGGAAGCACAAACCATACCGCAAAATCTTTCCCACCTCTGGCACAGTTGGAGGCAGCTGGCTGCATCTGCTTATAGAAACTCCTCAGTCTAAGCGAGCATGAAAATGTCTCTCTCAGCACACTAATGTGTAGTGAGGTAATCACACAGATAGGTTTAGGCACAGTGTCGTAAAACAGCCTGAACCAAACAATGGAATGGGCAGTGCAGGTCTTTGTAGCATCCTTGGTTTGACAAGCTTTTGTCTGTTACTCCCTCAGCTTGCATCAATGCTTCAAAACATATTTAGGTGTTAATGCTGGAATACTTTTCAATAAAAGGGGTTGGAATGCAGAAAAGGAGCAGCTCCTTGATCCCAACAGTTGAATAGGCTTTTAGAAAGGTCCTGTGCCATTCATGGAATTAATTGGCGCAAAAACATATTAATCAGTGGAACCTAATGTTTGCCCTGGTATGAGTTAAACTGGGAAATGCTGCTGTTAGTTTGTAATGTGTCTTTTATTTCTGAAAGGCAAAGGTTTGTGCCAAGCTCTGTAACAGTCTATTTGCTCTCAGTAGGATTTCTGCACAAGTGTACTATGACAAAGGAAAAAAAGGAAGGGAAGATTGAGTGACGTACTTCAGGAGAAGGCCAGCCCCTGGAGAGACCCTGCAGTGGAGTACTTGCTAGAGTCCACAAAAGACTGGTCTGATAAAAGACGACAACAAGGAATAAGAGAGGAAAGAAAGAAAAAGGATGGTATTAGTAAGCTGAAATATTACTCGTTTTTATCATAACAGTAGGTCTGTGCTTTAAAAGACACAACCTCTCAATTCAGCAGTATTAGTAGAGTTAGAGATAGGGTGGTTGCCAAACATCTGCATGATAATAGGCAGGCTGGTGGTGGAGTCCAGTTACTCTTTACAGGAGAAAACTTTAGTACAGAGACCACCAGGGATCCCCCATTGTCTTCAATCCCCTTTGACAACTCAGTGTTGCTTAAAGCCTTGCAAGCTACCAGGAACTCATGGTTTTGAAAGCAGCCATCTATGCTCCAGACTTGGTTTCACCTACCTTGCAGGCTATTGCCATTAGTGCTGGTGCAGGTGGGAGGAGGAGAAGTTTGCGGTCTCACAACAGGCGCAAAAGCACTCTTCTGTTTCACCGCTGAAACCATGTTGGCTGGTGAGAAGGAGAAAATCCCAGAGGAACTGCTACAGTTTGAGGGGAGGCTAGTGGAGGAGGCCATTGTCGGACTTGATGGCACAACTAGAGGAAAAAAAGACACCCCAAAATGCATTCCTTAGTATTAGATAAGCAGCAGACTGCAGAAACCAGACAACTCTGGTTGATTGCACTGGGTCTAATTTTAAGGCCAAGGCCAAGGCCTTTACTGCAGGTAGATTTCTGGTTGTTCACAAAGTGTGATCAATCACTGAAGGAAACCCACTTGTTTCATTTTGATTTGTTTTGTTCTGTTTTGCAGGTGTTCAGGAGCAGTAATTCTAGGAGCTCTTAATCCCTTAATTCTCTGTTGCTGCAACCCTTTATTTTCATTACAACCCTGTCCTGCCATCCTGTTTCAAGCTTTTCTACTGGTTGGCATTTTTCTGTAGATGGATAATTACCCACAAGACTGTGTGGGTAACTCAGAAGTTATAAAACTGATGGGCAAGAAGTGTTAAAGTACAAATCTGCATCTGGAATTTTTACCTTGGAAAGGTTTGAGTTTTTAACTATCTTTGAAAACTAGCATTTTAAGCCATGCTTTCCCTGTAGCAAGATTACTCCAGAAAGACCTATGGGATTTCAAGCAAACTTGCAGAAGGTGGAGGTCTTAGCAGTGACCCAGTTGACCTGCTTGTCAAAAGTCAGCAAAAATAGTTGAGCTTCTTTCTCTTCAAACCCTGCAAGAACTAGGGTTTAAAAGGAGTTATTCCAAAAGCATACACACGCACACACATATATACACACATGGAGGTTGTAGAGCACGAAGCAATCAGTGAGATTGCTGCTCTGACAGGGTTTTTTTTCTCCTTTGGTTGTGTCTGTTGCACAACAAGAAAGTGTGGATAACTGACAGCAACCATGCTTTTCTTTTATCTCCCTATAGGAGAAACCACTAAACTTCCCTCACAATGCTACAGATTCTTTCTGTGTTTTAACTAAACAAGCCAGTTTCCAGCTTCCCTGTATCTATCAGCTTTGAGAAAGTTTCTGCTGTGGGCACTTCACAACAATTCTCAGTGCCATGGAAACCTGCCATATTCCTCTTGTGACCATTGTATTTATGTACAGGAATGGAATTGGTATTTCATATCTCACCCAAGATGGAGATTTCTGAAAATGAAAGTCTGTTTTACAATGCTCAAGACAAATAATTCTCTCAGAGGATCTATGACCACTGTCTAAATACAGTCAATACAACCTTTTTAGTCAGAGCCATTGACAGGAATTTCAGCTGGAATAGCTAAGCAATGAAGCCATTGTGCTATATGCCAAATAGAGATCTGGCTTTAACTACAAGATTGAATAAAATGGGAGTCTTCAGTTTTTCTAAATAAGTGTAGATGTAAGGCTCTCTTTTCTAGGGGCTGAACTGATTGCCCAAGATGTAAACCTACTATACAGGAGGTTCAGTCTTTAAACACCTATATCCTTAAACTGTTGTTTAAGGATATGTTTGTACCCAAATGTGGTTGGATAAATATCTTTGGTATTTACTACTGAGGTTTTAATTGAATTTGTTTTCATGAAAATAAAGCCAAATATTTTTACATTCAGACAGAACTGCCAGTTTCCCTCTTATCCAACAACAACAACAAAAGAGGAAAGGACCAAAGGTAAGATCCCATCCTCTCATTCTTCATCCTGTTTAGAAACTGCTTATATATATGAGGGGGCTATGAATAATTACATATTATAGAGTAAAATTCCTATCATCTGGGCTTTGAATTATTATTTTATTTGCATTTATGTAGATAAAAATCACCCTATTTAAGTTCTTATTTGAGAATCTGATATCATATTTGTTAACACTGAGGAAATCAATTAGTGGAAATTAAATGTTCAAAGTTTCACAGTCTGACAGATACAATCTCAGTCTGAAGTCACTCTATGTCTGGAAGTACTTGCTAAGGGAGAGCAATCAAAGCACCTAAATTGAATTGCTACTATACAGCAATTAGTTTATTGATTTAATTAAGAATGCCACCTTTTAATTTTCAGGTCATGATTGAAGCATTTTCTGATTCAATGGATTAGGCATTAGCAGAATGACAGATCTACCAAGAAAACCTCCCAAAATATAACTGAAACGGAGAACAAGGGCTGGAAAGCGAAGTGCTATTCTGAAGAGGACTTAGTTCATAAATATGGAATAATACACTGCTAGAGTATTTTAAATGCATTACTGGCATCTGCTTCCAAAAAGAGATGTCCCATCAATCATGTTATATTATGAATTCAGAGTACGCAGATTCTATGACAGTAAATTCAACTTAATAAATAAGGTACTTTGTAACATTGCATGTTACATTATTATTAGAGTACAAAAATAATAGCTGGTTAGCAATTCCCAGGTTTTAAGTACTAGTTATGTGGTTAAATATTTTCTTCTAAATTTGCAGCAGCTAAGAAGCCTTGAATGAAAAGGGTTATTATCCCCTTTTTTATTCTGAACTCTAGTAACACAATTCAAAATAATTCATTTCTGTATACATCACTAATATGAATACATCACTAAAATAAAGATATGCTGTGTAAACCTTGGTATGTTCAGCAGTCTGCTTGTCCTGTCCATATCAGGGTCTCAGCCTATAAACCTATTTACGTCACGAGACCTTCTGGCCTGATTCTGTTAGCAGCTTTCTGCAGATGTCAGTGGAATCCTTTATGCCACATGAGTAACGTCAGTGTAATTGGGCAGGTCCTATTCATTTAATTTTCTCATGTGAATAGGGACTATGCGCTGTGTGAGAGGCTGCAGAAGAGGTTCACAGGCCTTTACCAACAGGAATGTATTTATATTTAAACAGGTTACTAAACCTTTAATCTCCAAATGCAGAAGGTTAGTCCTCTACACAAATATTTCCATAACTGACACTGTAGACCATAAGCTCTTTATGCCATGGAATATACTATTTGTATGACTTACGTCTTTGTGGCATTCACTGTACAGACGCTAAAACACAAACTCTTAAGAGCCATTGTCACATTTTACTAATACTAAGCTCCCAGTGAAGCCAATGTAATACCTACTTACAAAGCAAATGGAGTATAAGCGATCAAGATTAGGCCTACTAGTAATTCATAATATCTATAAAGGTTATGAACATATTATTTGCTCAGAGGTCTTGGAAACATCATCATGCAGCTTATGGAAATGTCAGTCTTATTATAGTAAACTTTTCTGCCCTTCATATCTTACAGCTGGATAAAAACTATTTTTCCAGCAGCAAATATCTTTAGCTCCCTTTCATACCCATCACAACAAAAAGTTGTGTACTGACATCTGACTTCTGATCCACTCCAACAGACATTAGGTCACTTAGGCCATCCCTCTTTTCTAGAAATGTTGAGGACATTTCTTATTTACAGAGTATAAGGTAAGTAAGTTATGAAATTATCAGCCCAAATCATGAGAGACATTATTCTTTTTTAGTTCCTATGAGCCTCCTTAATGATAATAACAAAAAAAGCAGAGAAGAGCATTGCTGGCTACACTAATGTCTTTGGAATTCCTCAAAGGTCAGTGCCTTGGAGGGAGAGAAAGGACCAAGATCTGTTTCAGGTGCTCAAAATAGAAACTAAATATTGAGTATCACACAAAAGTCACTGCCTCCTTCTAATGAAAATGAGCAAAATACGGAAAAGCCATGCAATACTCACTGGCATAGGGAGAATTGGCAGCAGACCCATTCAGGAAGGTTGGAGAACCGCCTAAATTTGACATTCCAGCATTCCCATAGCCATTCATGCTTGTTGTGACAGAGTTATAGTTTGTTTGCTGAGGGGTGGTGCTTGGCACATAGCCATGAGGTGACACGCTGCTTGAGTTGCGAGTAAAACCTTTTGTGGGGAGGGAATACATTTAGAAATTGGTATTAGCCCAAGAACAGTTTCTTACACAAACAGCTACAAGCAAGTAACTCTGGGTTACCAAGCCAGCAGCCTAGTCCAGCCATGGTGTGCATGGGGAGGGCCAGGCTGACCACCACTACCACCAGGTAACCCAGACAGTGAACCCTCATTGCCTAGGTCATTGCTGATTGGCACACAAAGGAGGAGGAAGGAGGCTACAGCCTGCACAGCTCCTCAGGCAACCCATGCCCTCAAGCAAAGATTACCACTGGATAACATAGGAACACTCACTCTAAAAGAGCTGTTTGTAGGAAATGGAGTAAACATGACCTACATTTTCAGTGAAGAGTACATATGGACTTCAGGTGTCTTAAAAGCATGTAATTCTTGTTAACTCTCTTCTGATGTCACTCTCATTTACCACATCTCAAATTAGATGCTCACTGCTCACTTCAGAAAAAGTAGGGTATATTTCTCAAAGTAGTGGGATATCCTTTGTCTTTTTTGCCCTGCTCTGATCATTGTGTTGGTAGAAAATTGCTATCAAATTTGGCACCTAGTTAAGATTTGAATATCTAACCTAATTCTGGAAACGCTGTTTGTGGAAACTCATTTATATTTTTTTATTTATTTTGTGTAATTCAAAATAATTTTGCCTGCCCTTCTAGAAAACAACTTTTTTGTACCACTTTCTCATCAAAGTGGATTTTTAAGTTGGATAATAAATAAAGCTGAGAAAAGGTGAAGGAAAATGCAAAAGTTTTTAACAAAAATACTCTTCACTTGTTTTTTTTTAATTTTTACCTGTAGGAATTAAAACAATATTGATTTTATACAAAGTGAAAAACACTTTATTTAAAAAATAGAGAAGATCTGAAAACACCTCTGCAAATGTTTCTATTTTTTACTAGCTTCAAAATTTAGAAAAGTTTCAAACTGTGGAAAAAAAAAAAAAAATTAGTGCCAACATTATGATCCTTACAAAATCAAACCAAACCAAACAGACAAATATTCAAGGGATACCTTTGTGCTATAAATAAATGCTACATAGGGCCAGACTGAGAGATGATTCCCACTGAGGAATATATATAAGCAAATGCTTAACATTAAGTACATGCTCAAGATATAAATCCTTTTAAAATTAGTGGGATTTGAACACAAATACAAGTGTTATTCTGAGCAGAAGGAAAAGCTATTTACATATGTACAGAAGTGCTTTTCCCACACTGGGGCAAAAGTCATTAAAATGACCCCCATCTCATGAAGGTATTGTGGCATTCAAAGATTGTGCATGCTTGTGGGATGATATCTGTCTATATGTGCTCATAGCCTTCAGTTTCGAACCATCACTCTTCCACTGCTCTGCACATTTCCCTGACTTTTATCAGAAAAGGTTCTTAAGGAGAGGAAGATGAGTCTTCTCCTGACCCTGATTGGTGGCTTGTGAGGCTTCGGAAACATTGACGGCTAGTTGACCACTAAAGGAATTCACTCCCATCATTCCTGCATGGACTGATGTGTTAGCAAGGGCAGGGAGCTGGTTGTGATTGCGGGGGACACTGTAGAGTGCTTCTGCGATGTCTGCTGCTCTTTTCAGGATTATTTCCTAAAGGATAAGAAGGAGGGAAAAAAGAATAAATGTGACTCTGATAAACGTTTTCTTACATACTAAAATGAAACATTTCCGCATCCAAAGGCAAAACCCAGATGCTTTTCTTTCTAAACCAGTTGGCTGATAGCTAATGTTTGTAAGATCTGCTGCCTTCGTGATAAATCCTGACATCTGTGGTTAGAGAGTTGGAAGTTTCAGTCCCAGCGGCCACACTTCTGTATAACAAGACCAGCTGGCAGAATGGGGCTGGAGCCCAGACTTACTCCACCTTAGAGCTATCTTTAGCATAAGAGTGAAAAATTACTACGGGTGGGGAAACATAATGCATGTCATTGCCCATATTACACAGTATCTGGTGAAAGTGGGCAAATGCCTCCAGGGTTAATAACACATTGCTTTTACAAGCACTAAAATCATATTCTTTAAAAAAAGAAAACAAGCAAATTAAACCCCACTCCAGATATAGAATTATCCTCTATATTTATTCTTGTCTCATCCTGTAGTATCATATAGCTTTAGCCCCTGATCTATCTATACATCTAAGAAATAGCCATGTTTTAGAATTACTGAAGTAGAATGCATTTACCTGGTTATTATGTGGCATACCATAGAGTGCTTCTACTAAATCAGCAGCCCTCTTAAGTATTACTTCCTGTCAATATAAAAACAGATTCATTCCTCTGAGTTCAATAAACAGCTTAGGGGGGAAAACAAATATTAGAATCTTTTATACTCTTCTATTAGTTGCATCATGTTTTGTGTTGTTTATTTTTTTCTTCTTCCCACCAGGTACACCTTAATTGCAACAACTCTCAGCAGCCACTGCATGGTGTTAAATCACTAGTTCATCCTATTCACACACAAGCTTAATCAAGTCAAAAGGTGAGAATCATTGGTGCTGCAAAATAAAATACATCACTCAATAGTCTCTACCATCTGCACTATAAACCACTCATCAGTTTATTGCAGAATACAATCCTGAGGTCATTTACTAGATTACTGCAATCAATGTCATTCAGAGTACGTTATGAATCCCTTCAATGTGTTTATTTTATTCTTAATTGCATACTGCAGGAATTGTGACCTTACCCAGCAGGCCACATTCAAAAGATATCCAATCAGTTTTATGCTACTGGTAATGTAACCTCTCAACTTCTGTGGTTTGTATCCTGATGTGATGGGTCAGGGTAGGATCTATGTACATAAAATGATACACAAGAAGAAAACATATGCACTATGAGAGAATGGCCCAGAATGGTGTAGTGTTTCCCAGAGAAATTCTCTGCTTGGACAGCAGAATTTAAAACAGTCTGTGATTGTTTCTCCCTTTTGGTCATTTTCTTTTTTCTCCATCTTCCTATTTGCTCCTTTTCACTTAATATTTCTTAGAGTATTTTAAACTGGTATTCAAGAATAGCATTTCCTAGCATTTCCTATGTTCTTACATTTTAGTGTGGAAAAATTTCCTTGAACAATCCTGATCAATACAAAATGTAAAGATACATTGCAGAATTAACACAGAATTTTTTTTCCCTGTTCTTTCAGTGCATTTAGCAGATTCCCAATTGCTAGATCAAACCCAGTTGAGACTGTCCTTTGAGTAAAACAACCTATTTTTGTAACTCTCAGCCCCTAAGTATTGCTCTAATATACCAACACGATGCTATTCACCAAGGTATATTTCTGCAAGTAGCTTACAAAAATAGTACCAGCTCTAAGGATTTTACAGTTTTCTACAAAGTTAAACTTTTAAACTTAAAATATTTTACACAATAGCCATATTTTATACCAAAAAGAAACAGTAATGCTCAATTTTCATATACTGTAGACTCTGATCAGAAAATAGAGATATAATTGCGTTCATTTTGCTGTCACCATAACCTCTTCAAAAATCCTTGAACAACTCTTCAAATGACAAGCTTTTAGATGCATATTAGCATTTTTTTCAATTTTAAATTCTCTATAATATAAGATAAAATAGTTGTCATACTGCAGTAACTACTTATGACATATATAATGTCCTAAATTCAAAAATGAGATGGAGGATTTTTGTACTCCCAGTAAACATATAGGCTTGCCTTCTGCTGCACACACCCCTCTCACAGAACACACATTCAAATTATTTTCCACATATGAAGTGAGATGTAATACATAATTGATGGATTTTTAAATCAGTACATTTGAAACAGATTCTGAGGAGTTAAGTTGCTACAGACTATTTCTGTTGGGTTTTGGGGTTTTGTGTGCTTTTCTTTGGTTGTTGTTGTTGTTTGGTTTTAGGGGGCTTTCTTTTTTTTTTCTTCCTGTTTCAGGTGGTTGTTTTGGGGTTTTTTTCTGTAGCTTGACCACAACTGTTAGCAGCATAAGCATAATCAGGGACAGACAAACTACAAAGAATATTTAGGTACAATCAATCCCTATTGCTTTACCACAATCATCAAGACACTGAGTTGTCCTTTTTGCCTCTTACCGAAGATGCAAACTAGAGAACAGAGATGTTACTGAAAAATGTTATCTTTTTAAATCCATGATTTTAGCTGGAAAATTACTGCACAGGTGTTTGACTTTGCAAACTAGGATTTATTTCAGTTCATTAGAAATTGTTTGCACTATGTATTTCACTGATGAAAAATTAAAGTGTGTTACAGAGACCACAGACTGCTTTGGAATATTGTTAACCTAAGCTATCATTATGCCAAACTACTAGGAAAAAAAAAAAAAAATGGAAAAAAAAAAAGAAGTTTAGTCATTTCTGTTCTGCCTAACTAATCATAGTTATTTATGTAATGCTGAGCTAAAAACCTTAGAATCCATCTAAAAGAGATTGAAGACCATATTAAAAAATGAGGTAATTACATGGAATCTTACAGCCGCTCTACCTAATATCAAATATATTCCAGTTCTTAAACATTGGAAGTTCTTAGATGCCATATTATATTGCATATAAATAAAACTAATTGTCATGATGGTTTATTGAAATCTGCTTGACAAGTAGCATTCAATTTTTCTAGCTAGTCAATGGTTTCAACATCTTCAGAGTCTGTAAATTTGAGTTTAATACTTTAATAATATTTTCACACAATAAAAGCATTTCTGATTTATGACATTTTCAGATCATACAAAGTAGATGTTACACAAAAACTCCTGTGTTAAATAGTGGTATCTGCTATTCCAGATCTGACTGTAGTTCTTATAGATGCAAACTAGCTTTAACAGTACGCAATAAAATGCTACTACAGGCATGCTCAAGATATTAACTTCTTGTTTTCTGAATGCATTTTAAACCTTTTGCAGCTCTGCTTAAATTACCACAGAAGCTACTGTTACAATTTCACATACAAAGGAGCCCCAAAAGTCCTCTATAAGTTAGAGCAACAGACCTTGCAAGGTGCTTGGATTGCAGTGACCAGAAAATTGTTCTCACCTCCATGTCATTACGCTCACAGTGAAGCAGCCCCCGAGCATGTTTGTGTTCGGGATCTAATATATTGCCTTTCAATCAGAGCTGAGAGCCACTGAACACATAGACAGAACATGACGAGCAGGTCAGGAAAGCAATAAAGATTTTACAGAGCTGTCCAAGGTGCTAAATTTACTCAATAATGGGTTTGGCACCATAGTGTTAACCTCTCATTTACTACCAGTTTGAGGGACTAAATTGAAGTAGCTGACTTCATTTACCTTGAAATGTATATTTTATGACATTATGTAAGTAGATTGAAAGGGCACTGCAGTTTTAACAATTTAAAGGCTAGAGCATGTTTAAGATGAAGCTCGAATATTTATTGTATATTGCACTTAAACTATATTGTATATTAAAATGCATTGATTAAATTTGTAAAAGGTATTATAAAAAAGGACAGCCAATATAAAAGATCTATGCCTTTTAAAATCCAATTGATACTGCATGTAACCACTGCAATAGTGATAGATAAACTGATAGATAGATGGACAGAGCAGCAGACAGACATATCAAAAAGTGAGTGAAACTCACATTCTATAAAAAGAAATCTCTGTGTAAGCTCAAGGTCTGTTATTCCAGATATTCTTTTGTTCAGACAAATTTTTCTTTGCCTTCATCTCAGAAGCCTACATTTTCATAGCAGTAAGTGGGCATCATGTAAGGTCCTTCCAATTGAATATGCAAGTAGAAATACTTCCTGAGACAGAGTTTGACTAAAGCTAATATCTAATTTATGGGAGCATTTGTCAAGAAAGATCCACTCTTCTATTAATGCTAAAAATCTGACAGTTTTTGGTTTAGAATAAAGGACTTTGCAGCATTTAGTTAGAACTAAAATGAGGGTCTTATTGTCTTGCATTTTATTTCAAATGAGCATCATTTTATTTCTATAAAAATAACAACTGAGCAAATATTGGAAAACAGAAAGATTACTTTAGTGATTAAGTATCATGCATCAGAACTCTGCTTTCATGCAGCTGCACACCATGTATCCAGAGTCCATTTTTATTCCAACCTGAAGCTGGTTTTTGATGAGGGATTTTTCTTTTTCAATTTTTGAAATAGGAATGTAATTAAATACTTCAATTAGATTTTCCTCCTTAAAGTAAAGGTGTTTACACAAGCAAAAAAGGGGACTGGGTAGTGAAGTCTGCTGCAACTTTGGATATTGCAAAATTACTGTGGGAAAGATTATACAAATCATACCAGAATGACCGGGCTTCTGAAACACAACAACTGAAATTCAGATTGAATCCACTTCTGACAGAACACACCTTGAACCAACATTACAGCAACTTTGCATGTTTTGTTTGTGGCATGCATTCCCTTCAGAAGGAAATTCGTTAAGATCACGAAACTTGCATTTGAAATTTTTATCATGATGAAAACATTTTGTGTCAAGTTTCATCATGGTAAACACATTTTGTGCCAGCTTTAAAAAGGATGGGATATTTCTTCTGTTGACATCTGCTTACTTTTTATTCAGCAGCTAGTGAAAAAAATCCAGTCTGTGTCCCAAAAGGGCTGTGAGTCTAGTCAGCTAAAGGGTTTCTAGAGTTATACTGAGTTATTTGGCTTAAGTAACTAAATTACATAATGTTCAAGGTACTTGTTAAATCTAAATGAATTTTGTCAAGAAGCTGACCACAATATATAATACTCATCAGCCACATACTGTATTATTGAGACTATCAAAGGATTTATGTACTTGTGGAGGGCGAGGGGGGGAAGCTGTTCTAGCATACTCTGAGGCATTTATCTTATGTGTTGTCTAGATATCATATCACCTTCTAATGCTCTTTAGCATTGTAATACAAGAAAGAGCTCATTCATCTTCTGAGAGGGTACTTAGGGATGATGATGTCATTCATACTTCCTTGACTCTTATGTCTGACCTCCTGGCTCTGCCTTCTAACTTCCTACTTTCATGGCTACTTGCAACAAAAAAACCTCTTCTGCAGAGTCAAGCATCAGACTCCGGTTGCCTTTTTCACCTTGGAGAGGTCACATTCCAAAATTTCAAGTGAAAAATCACAATAATTTCTGCTTGAACTTGTCCTTTGTTCTTCAGTGGGTGAAGTTATAAATGTGCTACTTAAGGAGATGTGTTAGAACTAACTTTTATACTTAAAATTCTTGTATGCATTGTATTTTAAAAGATAGAGATAAAATTGTGAACACCTGTTAAG